AAATATATAAAATATATATATAAAATATATATATAAAATATATATATATATAACCTGATTTCTCCAGTCTTGTGTAGTAAAGGTTTTGTGCGAGATTTATGGGTTTTGTTGTAGGAACGAAGGGGTGACGGTGTCAAATTCAAAGTCATGCCTGTCAACACCACAGCAGTGTCACAGGAACAACACCCCAACATATGTATAGTGCTTAAAAAGGGAAGTGCATTCAACCGAGCCGTGTATGTTAAATGTATATGCGTAAGTTATGTTTATGCCTTTAAAAGCAGACCAACAACTGGAATTTTTTACTATTTGTTTAATCACTGAATAATTTGTCTGGGCTGCTGTGTTGCTGCAGAGCTGGTGAAGAAGCACCAGACAGATGTGTTTTCTCCACGACATTTTCCATGTGAAAGAAACTTATTTTTAACATGTGTTTGGGTGTTAATTATAATTCTGTCACCCTCCAATAGCAAGTTTTGATTAAATACAACAACCATTCTGGGAGACTACGCAGCACTTTTTTTTTTTTTCTTCAAGGTTTGGATCTCATCTCGGAATAAACTCTTCAAATATGCTCGGGTAAAATAACATGTCAAATAACGCCTTGCTAGACCTTGCTGTGAAGGGAGATTTAGCTCGCTAGTTAAGCTCCCAGTTTCCCTGCTCTGGGACCGCCTTGGCTCCCTCTCTTCCGCCGTCTCTCCGCCTGTTTTGCATCCATCTCCTCTTCCATCCTCCCAACCCACTTCACTGTCTTGCCTTTCTCTCTAATCTAAGTCCCTGCCTTGTTGCATACGGTGGAAAAGTTGGGAAAACAAGGCCTACCAAGAGACTGCTGCAGTAAAGGTACACGGAACAAGGAAGCCAAAAAAAACGTGAGGGGGGGGGGATAAAGTGTTGAAAACTGTTGATATGCCGCAGATGACTGGGAGAGGGAATGTCACAACGTGGTCAGATACGGTCCCCAAAAAGACTGACACGCTCACAGGCTGTCGTCGCAGGAAGGCGTCACGTAATCCTAGGAGAGCGCGTCTACCCCGGCACAGAAAGCAGCTCACGTAGTAGCGAGGGTGGACTAAGCCCAATAAATCCAGAGGGAGGAGGAAAAATTCAAAACATATATTTGTACTGGTTGTACTACAAGCCTGTGCGTTGTTCGCAAAGTTAAGCAACTTCTTAAAAAAAAACTTCGGCGAGCCCGGCGACAGGAATACACGCCAGGGTCTCGCTGAGGGACAAGATGTGAGAGAGCGTATTCCCTGTGAGATGTGCGCTCGAAACGGGGGCGACGCCGTTTCCCACGACACCGCCGCCAAACACCCCCTACCCCACCCCACCCCACGCGCCACCCTCATCTTCTTTCACTTCTTTCATCCGGGCAAACAACAGCACCGCTGACTCTACTGCTGAATGAAATATTCATGGCAGAGATGAAGCGGATGCAGCTGAAAGACTGTGTACCTTTCTGTATGCTGTTTGCACCGGTGGGACCTTCGGAGCCGGTTAGGTGTTCAGGGCTGGTTGTTTGCGCTGGTGGTGTGCTCCTGTGGAGGAAGAGGAATCACTGGATTAGAACCACTAATGCAGCACGTGAGGAAATATAGGCAACACCATTTACACACCTCACAGGAAGCTGGAACGTGGAAGTCCGTTATACAGTTCACGAGTTCAACATTCTATAGTATTACGGCATTAACATGGAAAGCAGAATTGAATATGAAGGCCTCGGGTTCTTGTGAAATGGAGTGAGGAGAGAGAGGAAGTTTTCATTGTGTTTGGAAAAGTCTTGTTTTTCATATTCATTCATGCTGTGACAAAATGTTTTTCTCCAGGTGCTTTTCACCTTGTTTGATTAGTTCTCACAAACGGCTTATACATTTTTCAGAAAGGCAAACTTCGTGCTTAAAGGGATAGTTCAACATTTGCTTGCAGCCAGTTAGCTTAGTGTAAAGAGTAAAGACTGGGGGAGCTAGTGTGGCTTTAACAGCACATTTTTATAAAACGTACTTATTGGCTTTCTTTCCAAGACTTAATCGAGAAGATTGAGTCTCATTTTTGCTCAGCTCCCGAGAGCAGCCAGTTAGCTTAGCTGAACAAAGTCTGCCTATTAACACCAACAAGATATAACATGTGGATTTGTGACACTCACAGATCTACATGTTATATCTTGTTTGTACAAAAACAAAAGCATAAAGCCATCACTCCCATGTCTATGCAGTAAATATGAAGCTATCGCCAGCAGCCAGTTAGCTTAGCTTCTTACAAAGATGGGGGGAAAAAAATTGTTGTGTTTTTTTGTGCAGATTAAAAAATGAATAGTGACTTTTAGAGGTTTTGTTACCTCTGGACAAAGTCAGACAAGCTGTTCCCAAGCTGTATGCTAAGCTAAGCTAACCCACAGCTGGCTACAGATTCATATTTACCATTTGCTATCAATTTTCTCATCTGACTCTTGACAATAAAGTGAACAAGCAAGTTTAACTGTAAGTTTACCTGTCCTGAAGTGGCAGGATGGTGTGAACCGGGATTTCAGGGACTGGTCGGTGCCTCAGCCGGTAGGAGCGAGTGGGCCGCGGCCCTGCAGGGGCCTTAAAACTGGGCTGTGCCTCATAGATGGAGTTTTCCACCATGTCACCTTGAAAACCTGCGCTGTCCTCAGTAAGCACTGAGCAGGAGGCTTCGGCGGGATGGTGGAGGGAGTCGGTGCTAGACAGCGAGGGATCCTCTGAGGACACCTCCCAGTCGGAGGGCATCTCAGAAAGGGAGAGGGACTCGCTGCTGCTGCTATCGCTGCGAAAGGACACAAAGGCGGGGACGCACATATGTTCAGAGGCTGATGTTCGGATGTTCTGGGGATTGCGCGGGGCCGGCTGAGGCAGGCGGAGGGGTCTGCTCTCCGGGACGTCCTCAACTTCTGGTCCCAGTCCTGCTCCTGGAGGTAAAGTCTGACTCCCCTCCAGATCTCTCCTCTCCTTCGACTGGTGGTGCTGACATGAAGTCCCCCTTTTTTTATCTTTGAGGAAGATATGTCTCGGGTGGGGCACGGGCTTCCTTGGGCGATTCCCGTTCTCCATCCCGCCCTCTTCGTCTTCCTCTCCACCGCTCTGCTGCTTCACCCCTAGGGCCTCCAGGCTCCGGAGGATGCGCCTGCGATGGCCTGTCGGGAACACTTTCAGCTGCACGAGGTGCTCATCTGTGAGGCCCTTGCAGTCGTCCAGAGCTTCGTAGCCTCCTTGCTGGAAACATACAGTGTACTGGGACAGGCGGAGGGTGTGCAACCACTCCACAATCTCACACTGGCTAGACTCTGGAGGCTCCAACATGATGCTTCAGTCTCAGCTCTGCCACATGAGGAGAACCTTCAGAAGATGTAGTAGTCCGGCTTCAAACTGCAGACACAAAAGGAGATGAAAGTAAGTGATGGGAGAAGGGAAATGCTGTAAACTTAAGAGGCTGTAAGTGCCGTCAAACTGAATCTAATCTTTGTACTTGTACCATAGACAAGATTATTAACCTCTGAAATGCCTCTGAAATTCTAACAGGCATAAAATATCTATCAGGCTCGAGTGAAGTGCTTTTTCCTACAGGCCAAACTTGTTCAAAGCGGATATTGATTTTGTCTTAGAGGGGAGTTCAGCAGGTGAAACTTTAAAGGTTGAGTTTCACTTTTAGATATCACTTTGATGACGTTACTCTCCGACTCATTAGGGTAACCGTTTGACATTTTGAGAAACATGGCCTTCCTTACCCGCAGTTCGACGAGAGGATCGATACCACTCTCACACCTGCTTTAAACGCCCATGCTAAGCTACGCTAGGCTAACAGTCTCCTGGCTGTGGCTTCACATCTCCCTTTAAGACACGAGCGCGGTCTTAAGTCTCCCCACGTACGCTCAGCAGCGAAGGAAACGGGCCTTAAATTGGACCGCCTGTTCCTTCGCGCCTTCTCAGAAAAGATCCAGACGAGCGCGCTGTACGTTCATCAACAAGTGAGCCAGGCAGCGGGCAGAACCAAAGCTACATTTGCAACACTCAGGGATGAAACAGCAGGAAGCAGCAATAGCTGTGATGAAACAGCACCGCACCATCATAGTGTGGCTCTATGGTCAGGTTCTTTGGTAAGACGCTCGCCTTAAAGTCTGAATCAAATAACAAACGCACTGAATGTCTGCTTTACGTCCAGCTGACATCTCGGTTAGAAGTACATCTTTTCTTTTTTTAAAACAGCACTCACCACAGCAGCAGATAAAACTCCAGGCTTCACATCACAGCTCACCGACGCGGCGACACGCACAGGTAACAGTCCTGCTAATGCTAAGCTATACTAAAATGTCCGTTTCCTGATGATTTCACACAATCTCTTCGGATGATGAATTGAAGAACAGCTCTCTCTCTCTCCCTCCCTCTCTCTCTCTCTTACACAGACGCACACAAGGAAAAATACAAATCATTGTCAACCATCTTGTCATGTCCACTTCTCTTTTGCGTTGCAAACCTATAGTACACAAGTGACATGAAGTGTTACTTCTGCTTTTAAATCAAACACAATCTTGTGGCTTTTCCGCACACAAAGCGCACAATTGAGGGCCTAATGTGCAACGAGTTCACAGAACCCACATCAACAGAAAATGACCAAGCTATTTTTGGTAACCGGTGAGAATGCAGAATATTCCCCCCCCTCTTGCAATCAAAAAAAAAAAAAAAAATGTGCTCATATGTGCTCAAAGGCCTTTAAAAGCGCACACATCACACCTTAGCTGCTACACTGCCGCACAGGCCCAATATAAGTCCTCACAACAGAGGCCAGTACAACCTAACAGCCCTGCCTCTCTGTGTATTGCAGTGTTAACATGCAGGGACCTGTATTGGCTAACAGCCAGCACAGGCACACGCCAAAGCTTGCAAGCTACATTTTGACCTGGCCTGCTCTACCATCCCTGCCTTTTGGCGCTTGCACACCCACCCACGCAACGTGCAAACACATAAAAAAAAATAATAAAAGCTATGCGCCACAGAGCCCACACATTCAGCAAACATTATTAAAAGGGCTGGATATAGGAGGGCTGATCCACAGCTACTGCCCGGTGTCAAAGCCCACAGTGTGTGCAGATCAATAACACAACAAAAAGAGAACTTCACAGGGTAAACCACCTGCACATGCCACACAGGCAGGGGAAGCAATGTGTGTGTAGGTGTGTAGGTGT